ACACCCCTAAACCATCACACTGCCTCTCCCATGCTTCATGGTAAGTGCTATGCATTGAGGTATCTTTCACCTTTTTTCCACCGGATGTACAATCTATGCTTTGAACTAGATATTTCTAACTTGGACTCATCCATCCATAACATCATTTTCCAATCATCTACAGTCCAGTTTTTGTACGTAGAGCACCTGTAGGTTAAGAAATACATAAAAATGTGAGATTTTAGGTAATACTTCAAATATTTGGGGAAGAACAGATTTTGCTTGTATGTTTTCTTCAGACTAATTAACTTATGATATTGCTCATGTTATATGAATGTAACTTAATTGTTGTATTTTAAAGTATATTCATTGATTAATTTTTTTAGTGTTAGATAAAGTACCTCATAACTGATCTTAATTGAATTGTATTATTTAATAAAGAATTAAACAAAATATTGTAGGTGGAAGAAGAACAAACGTTAATAAATGAACTAAGAAAGATAGAAATGAGGAAGAGGGAGAGAGAAAAGAAAACGCAAGACCTTCAGAAGTTAATCACAGCAGCAGATAACAATGCTGAAGCTAGAAAGACAGAAAGAAGAGGACCTCGTAAAAAACTGTTGCCACAGAAAAGTTCAAAGGCTGATGGTGAGGTAGGGTATTTGCTGCTTATAACCTGGTTGTAACTGTGCAGTAATTATATGTCCATTAAGATATCATTTTTGTACCTTTAGAACTTGTTGCCACTGGTTGTTATAACTATTGCCATTCAAATTTTGTGTAGTACTGGTTTTTTTGTGTTCTTTTTTAATTAGAAAAGACATATTTATAAAACACTGTCAATGCACTGTATACATTTCAAAGTCTCTTCTTAAAACACTTAAAAATACTTTTTTGAGGGGACAAGTATGTGGACATTATATTTTTATGTAGTAGCATAGTTTCTTATGGAGTTTTCTATATAACTTTACACTAGAATTCTAATTCAAGTCCCATATAGCTTATATTTGAAACATTTTCAGCATAAATGCTTATATCTTCTTGAAATTAAAGTACATTTTTATTATTATGTAAAACTATTCTATTACTGAAGTTTTAAAAAAAAAGGTAGAGGTAGTCATTATATGTGAGATGGACAACTTTAATAACTCTGTATGTTTGGATGTATTAAAGATCATGCATATTTTTATTGTTTATGACTTCAGGCATGGTGAAATACTCGTATTACTTTGCTTGTGCATCTCAGATGATGTACATTACACGTGTGTCTGTGATGTGTATGTATGGTATTTTAGATTCACATCATTTTCTGGAGCACATTCTGAAACAAAATGTATAGGTGTATCTGATATCGTAAGGCAGTTGGGATTTAATCAGTATGTAATTGTGCTTATTATTTTGATTAAAATATTGCTAATGGTTTTGAATATATCTTTTTCTTTAGTTAGTAACTGTTTTTATATAATTCATTCTGTATGTCACCTGCAAATGGATTTTTTTTTAACCACCTTACACATTTTATGTCATAAGACTCAATGTCTCAGAAAAAGCTAACAGATATAACTTTACAAAAAAAATTTGCATGTTGGAATGCATCTAGCCTGATGAGGTCTCATGCTGAGTAAAGAAACTTCAGCAGTGGCAAACAACAAATAAAGTGTAATTTTTTGCAACATAATAAAATTCAATAGTAATAAAAGTAATTAAATTAAATTTTTATTTTCAGCCACTTGAAACTGGTATCAAGTTTCCAGATTTTAAGGCTAGTGGTGCCACATTGAGAAGCCAAAGGGTAAGATTATTACAATTTACATCAGACAATAATGATATATCTCATAGATTTTATGTGGAACACAAACCATATATCAACACAACAGACTTCCTTCTCTTCACACATTTTATAATAATGATTTCCACGTTGAACCCTGCTTGATTTTTCATTTTCAGAGCTTAATATAACAGATGGATTTTTGGATCTTAATATTTAATTAAATGATTAGTTCCACTTCCTAGTCTTTCCCATTTCCTCATGTAGTACTAAGATATGTGTATATTACAGTCTTTTGACTGTATGATTATTAAACAGAATGTTTTTGGTGTTGTGGTAATAAAAATGTATATGTTTTTTTGATATTCACCTTTATACTTATTGTATTATTAAAATTGTGATATATGGTCTTGTTACATATTAGGGAAAAAATAAATAAATGAGAATAATTGTTTGTTGTTGTTCTAGATGAAATTACCTTCCTCAGTTGGTCAGAAGAAAGCTAAAGCTATAGAACAACTTCTACAAGAATTAGGTATAGGTACGTATGCATTTCATTGTCACTTAAATGAAGAAAAACTTTAATATAAGTATAACATAACAGCAAATGTACAACGTTTTGACAAGGTTTTGTCATCATCAGGTACAAGTAGTGTACACTTATATTTCTGCATAGTTATCAGGAGTTACAACTGTGAACAATGCACTTATACTTTTTTTTTACCATTCTTCTGCCTATACCAAAGCTTAGTTTTTTATATCTTAAGAACTATCATTCTTTGAAAATATAATGAACTAAGTCTTATATTACTCATGATTTTCCCTTCTCTGTTTGAAGTTTGTTATTATAACCCTTTGTTCCCACCATTTTAAGATGTCATATGGTCTAAACCATTACTTGTGAGAAAATAGCTATGAGCAAATTTTAAATACTATTAAATATATCAAATTATAGATTACTGACATCAACGTAGAGTAGCTATAAGGAGTTCATACAAGGATAGAAAACTTTGTCTAAAAGGAAATTTAGAAGGAACAAACTACAGTTCTGGGAATGTTTCTGAAGATGTTCTTTTCCTTCCTGAAAATGTTTTCATGTTAAATTATAAGTATTTGAAAGCTAAGGAAATTTTATATCAAAATACTTCATTTAAGGTTATTTACGTGTAGTAAGTACAGCAGGCAACAGCAAAATATTCCAGTGACAAATCTCTATTTATTGTTTATTATTGTTAAATTTATCATTTCCGATATGGTCTTACCTTATCTCACACAAATCTATCTCGCTATTTTCAACATGTACATATCATGTGACTACTCTCCACCAATAGTATTGCACCACCTATATTAGCACAATATTCCCACTCAATCCTCACTTACTCAATTGGCACAGTTTCATTTAGACGCGTTTTTTAAGTGTGACTACCATTTATGATTGTGCTTACTTGCAATTTCAATTTTTTTCAACAGTTTTTACTGTGTTTGCATTCAATGAATTGACTATGATACTTCCCATTACAGTTGACAATGCTACTGGTAAGATTTCCCAGGAATTAGGTTTGACTTAATTTGTGGGGAGCTAGATTCATATATTTGGCTGGCAATTTCTTCTCCTTTTTAACTGGACAATATTGCTGAGGAAGAATACAATTTTGGTCTGTCACACTCTGCACCTCTTCATAAGATTTCACCTTCTTTTACAGCTGGTTACTCAGGTCGACAGTTGATGCGTATTTAGTTTTTTTTTCTATATGTTTGAGACGAGGGTGATTTCGCTAGTTTTCTTTTTCCTGCTCCCGTTGCCATGCCACCATGTCGTTCACTTTGGTGGAGGTTTTTCTTCTTCTCCTTTCTTCCTATTGCTTCCAGACCTTCCAGTGGATGTGGTAAATTTTCAACCTGCACTCCTCAAACCTGGTTGCGATACCCATGGTAGGCAAGGCTCAGATACACTTTGTGTAGCTTTGTCCTTCTTTACACATAAGAAAGTTATCTGTGCTCTTACTTTGGTAAGTTAGATATTTATCTGTCCTTTGTCATGTAAATTAATTTAAATTTATTGTTAGTTAGATATTGGTTATTACTTTGTTTTTTAAGTAATTTTAATGAGCTTACACACTCATAATTAGTACATACTTTGTAGTCTAGGTAAATTTCAGTATTTTGTCAAATCTATATTAATGAGTACTTTGTGAACTAGCTATGATTAGTTAGGTTGTATTTTATATATCATTCCTACTAGTAATATCTAATTCATTGTTCTGTCTGAAAAATATTCAAGTGAGAATTGAATAAGAATAGCCAGGGGAGCTAGTTGCACCAGTATAGATTGCACTGTGCTATTGATGGAGAGTAGTCATGATATGTACATGTTCAAAATGGTGCAAAATTGATAAAGTATATAGACTGGTGTGCTGAGTGCAAATATTTTTTAGCAATGCTTACAGGGCAGATAGAAGATCGAGATAGCTTTGTTTGAAAGTACCTATCAGAAACACATTTTCAGTGTAAGAAAAATGTTAAAATTCAAGCAATGTACATATACATAAATATAATAACTTATTATTTATTAAAAAGAAACTATTTATTAGATGTAAATTGATTATGACCAAGAGTAGTGTTTAGCAACAGTGTTATTTTGTCTGTTATTTGCTTTGTTTTTGTGATTTATAGGTGAAACTGGTGACTACTGCAATCGGCAAAATAAAATAACAAAATAATTATATTAATGAATATCAATAAAGTTAAAACTGACTGCATATATAAAGTAGAACTCTCTGTTTAATATCTTTTTAAACAGTTCACTACAATTTTATGATGTAAAAAACTATTGAAAAACTAAATCAGAGTATTGGACGTTTTTCTCAACCAAAACTGCATACATTTAGTAAATTCCTACTGAGTTTCACACAATTTGGTTCAATATTTCCATTATGAGAAGGAAAAAATTCAGGAATATTGGTGACACCTCACTGGTTTAGAAAGATACAGTTGGAAGCTTTCTGTTAATTTTTTGGTTATGGAGAAAACTGTTTTTGTGGGTTCTCCAGGTCATTTTCTGCTAATGAAATTACCATTTCTTATCAAAGTTTAGAAGCATCTTCAAAATATCTTAATTTTTATTTCAGATTTAAATCCAATGCCCACAGAAGACATCTGTACCCACTTCAGTTCTGATACATGACATGTCATTATGACTTTATTTTTGTTGTGGTTGTCACATGATTTGCATATTCTAAATCATTTTAATATGATGTACTCAACCCTTTGTAGTAGGTGGTACCTACTATGATTCACTAATGCTTACCTTTCCTGGAGCCAAAGCTTCATATTGATGATGTAAAGTTTGCAATTCAAACTCACAGGTTGCAAGTGCCAACTTCAGTTCATAAAGAAGAACCATATCACTTCTGAGCTCATTGTCTGGCTGCTTGAGGTATGAGATACGTGGATGGGTTTTTCCAAGAACTTGTGTTAATCGATTCCCACCTATTACAAAAAGCGATATCTAACTTATGGCTCAAGGTTCTTGGTGTCCCTAGTTTATCCATATTTCTTAGTTTTCCATTGCCATTAAGTACAAGGAACACTCCTGTATTAGAAATTCTAGTCATTGAAACATATCTTCTTTATGATCTGAGTGTATGAATATGTTGTTGCATCTAATCTCCAAAAGTGATAAATTTTTGGTGATATCACACAACTTACAAAATGCCAAATGATGTCAGTGTAAAATGAAATGAGTATTAATGCTATTCCATACGAACACATACTGGTCAGATGTAGCACTGATGGATTTCTGTGCAATTAAACTGTTGAAATAGATGCTGGGAGACCATTATCCTCATACAATAGATAGCTTATAGAAATCAAGCAAGGAATGGAGATCTGCTTTGAACATGAAGACAGCCTTATGACAAAGCTTTTTTCCATTGAAGCTGTATTGCAAAACAGTTGTCAAGATGCACAGTCACCAGATAGATGATAACCAAATGTACTGACATGGACTATAATGATGTGGTGAGGCTTCAGAATTGTGTTAATTATTGTATTCAACCCAAACAGACAAACATCAGTACAGTAAGTTATTTCCATTCATAGAAGTACCAATTATAACCAGTATTTCTTAGGTATAGTAAAATTATAATATAATATTTTTAACACATTGGCTACCTAGTGACACACCTTTGTTCCAAATGTGTCACAGTTGCACCCGAACTATTGGTGGATCAAATGCTGATCGAAACATAAGTTCACTTACTTTCTGAATTAAGCAGAATACTATAAATATTGATGTTTTCCATGGAATTTAAGCATATTGTTTATAAATATGTAAAGTGCAATGGTTATTATTCTGTAAAATGTATAGAATTTAGGCTGGTAGGCATGTTATTATCATATTTTACATTTAGAAAAGTAATAGAGAATGTGTTTCAGTTTTTATTGAAATAAAAACAGTTGTATAGGCATGAAAAATTCAAAATTTTCTTCTATGGTATTTTACGCCAGCTGAACTAAAAATTATTGCTGCTAATTAATGAAATCAATAGTTTTTTTATTCTTGGTAGTATTTATTCGCGATACTTATTGCAACACCTAAGGAGCATTGCTGAGTATTCTTTCTATTTATTACAATATAAAGAAATTGTGATAACTGTTTAAAATAATTAACAGTTTTTGTAATCATCATTTATAATGGTGGCAGTTCAGTTAATGTGTTGAGTATTTTTATATACTTTCAGATTAAAAAACTGTTCTGAAGCTAAGTGTAGTTTACATTGTATTAGTCAGCTCGCTTAAGCATAGATTACCAGTGGTAATACTTTAATGGACATTTATTTTTATAAAGCTTTCTTTTGGCAAAGTATATGGGATTGTATAATTTAAAATAATACGTTTTTAAAAGAAATGTAGATCCACAGTTTCTAAATAATGATACAAAAATATTGAAGTTTAAACTTCACAACATAATTTTATTTCTACAACAAATAATTGATTATTATCAGCATTTACTTGATTTAGAATATTTCTGAAGAAAATACAAAATCATTCATTAACTCTTTCAGCATGGGCTTGGTCACTGGGACCAACCTCGTAACCATTTTGTGCTTTTCATAGTTTCATGCTATAAATTAGTAAGCAAATGTTAACGAAATTTAGCAGATTATAAGTAAACATTACAATGCTTTCATACCCAAAATATAAATTTTTTTTATTAAGTCTTAAGGTTTGTAAAGCAATGTTTTTTTCATGTCTTTTTTTTTCTTTTTGCATGTTGCCAATCTATCATGTAAAGTGATATTCATTTTAAGATTAAAAATACATTTATGCATAAGAAAAATTTTAAATTCCAGATGCAAAATCTTTATAATGTCCAGATAGTTATCAAATGTTTCTTAAGAAAAAACTTTACATTTTGTTTTTATTTTCTGTAATTAATATCTGTACGGGTTCGGTAGATTTGACCGATCTCTCAACCACCATAAAAATTTTGAAATAAATATCAATTATGCTTCTTTCTTTCTAGAATGAACAAAGATTATAACACGAAACATAAATATTTAGACTAAATAGCTTAAATCTCATAACATTATACATATATATATATATATATTTATTATTTTTATTATATTGATCTTTCAGCCAGCATGGCTAACAATACAGAAGTTACAGTGAGGAGGCTCACGTGCACTCATGTTACCATATAAAATAACATAAAACTGACCTTTGTTCTGTACAAAGTAACTTGTCTTAGATGTGTTTTAGTAGACTCGTATTTTGTAAAATAAGTCACATTTCAATTATTATATATGTATATAAATTAGTGCTATTTTGAAATAAGTTCTTAAACTTATTTTTCTTAAAACATAGAACAGTAACTAAAGAAGTAAAGCATACAATTATTTCTTCTAGTTATGACTTTTGTACTCATTTGCTGCTTAACATAGGTTACTAAGCCCATAAAAAATTTGCACATGGAGGATATGAAACAAAATATTTTTTTTTAGGTTTTATATATATACATTTGAATATCTAAAAAATCATAAATTACTACATTAATACCAAAGAATTCCATTATAATTTATCAAGCTTGGTAACTAAGATGTATTTTAGTCTAAAAAAAATATGAAATTTTGAGCAGACTAAAGATACACCCTACCTCGTTGAAATATTGGTTCAAAAGAAAGAAATGGGGCCAAGCCCATTAAAATGGCTGAGAAAGCCATTAGGGGGACATTCTGAGCTTCCGATTGATTATTCATGTCATATATAGAAGTAAGTGTTTATAAGGGTGCATTTCCAAAAATGGAAGAAGGTGAGTGGGGTGCCACTATGTTTAATTTATTACGTGAGCAATATTTTAGCAAATTAAGGAAACAGTAGTTCAATAAAATTTTGAATGCGAGTCAACAAATGAGATGACATGGCCTTTCACCCGTGCAGCAGTCTCGAAAGGGTTGATTTGGAAATTGTTGTTCCCTTAACATACTTAACTTCTTTCACACTTTAGCTGTTACTCGACTGCCAAGGTTTCTTCCTTTGCCCATCTAAGTATTGGTCCGACTTCTTGTTTGCTTGTCTTTTATACTCCACTTAATTGCCCATGGAGATATTTGTCTCGTGACACTCTCCACCTATGTCAATGCACCCTCAATCCTGGTACTGTATGTAAGCACCTCATTCAGATACTTTGTGCATTCTCCATGTTACATATTGAATTTTCACTAAAAAATATATAATTTCGATTAGCAAGCCGATTTATGGTATGAATTTCCAGCACAGAGGTAAGTAAGGTCTCTTCTATCCAAGCATGTCATTCATAAGAACTGGCAAACTAATCTTCTTGTTACTGTTGATGCTAGCCAGGTGGTTAGAGGAGCTCGACTTGCAACCTGCAGGTTGCGGAATCGAATCCCCATCCCACCAAACATGCTCATTCTTTCAACCATGGGGGCATTATAATGTGAAGGTCAATCCCACTATTCATTGGTAAAACAGTAGCCAAAGAGTTGGCCATGGGTGGTCATGACTAGCTGCCTACCTTCTAGTTTTCCACTGCTAAATTATGGAATGCTAGCACAGATATCTCTCATGTAGCTTTGTACAAAATTCAAAACAAAATAAACAAATTCTCCTATCCCACCTCTGAGTCACTCTCAGTTGAGACTGTCAGTGATCTTATTCATAGTGAGTTGAAGACTCTGGGGGGGCTCTGAGGCTGTAATTGAGGGCAATCCTTGAACCTTCTGGAGGTAATTTAGATTCAGTTTTTCCGGTACTTTCTTTTATTCTGTGGAACACTAATCATTTTAAGGAGTATTAACGCTGGAATCCGGGGTTCGATTCCATATAGTGGACACAGCCAAATTTTCCTGACTAAACGTTTTTCCGATCAATAGTAATAAACACAGTCTTTAAAGGAAATAAAAAAGGAGGCCACTTTGGAATAAGCTGCCTCTGATTTGTTTACTTTGGTTGGTTCATCAAGAGTGTGATGTTTTGAGTCTTTTCCAGTTGCTTTTGAGTCTGCACCTTAATTGATGGTTCTGGGAGTGAATATTTAGTTTTCTCTCTATCCAAGGACATTGTGGTTCATGCAGGGTGGTTTACTTCTCAGTTACGTGAAGGGACAGTTATGCTTTATCCACCACAGTTGTAAGAACTACATGATGTAATGTACCACCACCAAGTGGGAGCATATTCCACCTCACAAATAATACATCTGCTCCTCGAAATTAGGAGTTTTAAGGCAAAGTTTATAGTTAACCTGAATATATCAATGTCCTCTGGTTGGACAGCAGTAAGTCTACAGATTTACAGCTCTAAGATCCAATGTTTTGTTTTCTTAAGACTAAACTTTGTCAGAAGACTCTCAGGATCACCAACTTCATTGATGACAAGCTGAAATCATTGTTAGCAAGCACATTCCTTTGTTGTTGGCATCTCGCATTAAATCAGATTCTACAGGGGGTCATAGTTTTTCTCCTGTTCAAGGGACCTGACATCAGCCCCTCTGTACATTGGTACTCATAATAGATTCTGTCCATATGTAAGGGTTCCACTGCTCAGTCAGAACACTGTCAGCAGCATCAGTGATTATTGTATGCCTTCAGGGTCTGTGGGGGCTTGGCTTCATGAATTTCTGGATGTGTGGTAACCTTAACCATGGATCCTTGGGCACTACAGGTCCTTGATTCAGGATTAGTCATTCAGTTCACATCTTCACTACCATTATCCATCCAACCTGAAAGGTTTCCATCTCCCGCAGATCCTTGTGCTATCAGTTTTTTTTGGTCTATGAGTAGTGAGAATTCGTGCTAGTTCTTCTGGGGTTTTATTCCTGTTGGTTGTTGGGTCAGGAACTACAGTTCAGGGTTTTTACCTTCGGACTAGTATAGGCATCACATAGGTTCTGCCAAATTGTACAAGTTTTTT